TCTGTACATTTCATAAAATTACAGATTAATAGCATATGGCAATGTTTTTTTAAAAAAAAAAAAAACCTAGACTGTTGCCTAGTATACAAATAACCCGATGAACTGCATTACAGTCCATAACATGCCTCTACTTCAACCTGCCCTATCTACATTTGCCTCAGGAAAACTCATGTCCCCTTTTCCCTCTCACACCAATGACATGTCTCAGTCTTTTCTAAAGTACACCAGGTACCTAGAATACTTCACGGACAACCTACAATACCGGTTCAATATTCTCATGCTACTATCAGCAACCCATACTAAACATATGTATCTAGATTCCTAGACAACATAAACCAGATTTCCATAAGTTTTCCATATAACTAATTATGAAATGATTTTAAAAATTAAAACCAAACTGTAAGTGGTTACCAGGTTCTGGGGAAGGGGGACGTGGTAAGTTGTTTGACAGGCAGAGCTCACTTGGGGATGATGAAAAGATCTGGAGATGGATAGTGGTGATGATACCACAACAATGTGAATGTGCTGAATGCCACAAACTTGGGTCAAAGAAAATGTTTTCATGTATAATAATGCACTTGCCTTTATAATAATGCAGTCATAAAATATTTTTATTACTTTTTTATGGAGAAAGAGAACCAGGAAGATAAAAGTGCTGACGGCCCATGAAAGTCAAAATGTGGCCCTGATGCTTATTTCCTACTATGAAATCATCAAGGTACAGCAAGAAAGTGAAAATAATGAAAATACAACTGGATATGTATGTAAAACATTATTTTTAAAGAGAAATCGCATACATAAGCAAATTTTGTGGGTTTGATTTTTTTTTAAACCCTAGTAATATTAGAATGGCATCTCAATTATTACACAATCAAACAATTCTTTATTAAAAAGAGCTATAAAGAGCTAAAAAGAGATATCACATTTCCATAAACAAAAAAATAAATGCTTGGAAATGAACTTAATGAGAATTTAAAGGAACCAGAGAGCAAGTATTAAGGAAGAAAAAATAAGTGAAAGAGAAAAAAGGAAAAGAAGGAAAGAGAAAGGAAAAAATATTGATTAAAAACAAACAGATATACCTCTCATTATTTAAATTAGCAAAGCTGAAAACACTTCCTAAGAAAATTCATAGATTTAGCATAATGTCAATTAAAATCTCCAAAGTATAATGAAATACTAAGGAAAAATACTGAGAGAGAATATGTTGTCTAAAGTAAACTTGAAAAAATTAAAGAATGAGGATGTATCTAAACCTACTGATACTGGATAACAACAAAAAGCAAATAGAAAACAATTACTTAAAGCTATAAATTAGTACATTTTAAGTATACAAGGACAACAAGGATGGAACCTTGAAGGCATTATGCTAAGTGAAATCAGTCAGACAGAGAAAGACAAATACTTTATGATCTCACTTATATGTGGAATCTAATAAAATCAAACTCATAGAAACAGAGAACAGACGGGTGGTTGTCAGAGGGGCAGAGGGGTGGGCAAAATGAATAAAATGGGTCAAAAGGTACAAACTTCCAGTTATAAGTAAGTTCTGAGGCTGTAATGTACAGCATGGAGAGTACAGTTACAATACTTTGTTGCACATTTGAAAGTTGCTGAGAGAGTAGATCTGAACAGTTCTCATCACAGGAAAAGACAGGAAAAAAATAACAGATTATCATTTCTAGTATAATAATGTTAACATGAAGAAAAACAAATTGATCTCTTTAAATCTCCATGACACGTCATACAGGATTTTTAGGTGGGTTACAACTTTATTTTTTAACTAGAAAAATACAGAACATTTCTAGCAATGAAAGGGAGTTTGTCCTTTCATTTCAAGCAATTAATCAAATTATTATAAAAAGTATCTACAAAATGAAGACTACCAAACTAAAGATAGAAAGAAAACTGATGGAGTGAAAGGAGAGAGGAGGGACTTTGCAACTGGAATGCTAGATAAAAGTTTTATCTCCAAAATACACAGGGATGGAGCTAGGTCGATACCTAGTCCTCAAGAGACAAACTGTCACAAAATATTTTAATCAAAAAGAGGCAGGTTTGACATAAATACACTACTATGTGTAAAACTGATAGCTAGTAGGAACCTGCATTATAGCACAGGAAATTCAGGTCCGTGCTTTGTGAGGACCTAGATGGGCAGGATGGGAGGGAGGTTCTAGAGGGAGGGGATATATGTATACATATAGCTGATTCACTTCGTTGTACAGCAGAAACTAACACAACATTGTAAAGCCATTAAAAAAAAAAAAACAGAGGCAGAGGTGTACCCACTTAACCATGCACCAGATACTATTATAAACACTTTATATCTATTAACTAATCTAACACTCACAACAAGCCCCCTATAAAAAGATACTATTTTTACTCTCTTGTAGCAAACTAGAAAAGGAAGTTACTATTTACCCACCAGTGACACAGCTTAGCAGTCAGAGCCAGGATCTGAACCCAGGCAGTCTCACTCCAGAGGCCATGCTCTCAGCCACCAAGCTATTTGCTTTCCTCCGCACAACAAAAATTCATAGACCTTTCATCCTACAAATCTAAGTCTACTAGATGTATATAAATTACTATTATACAAGGCAAAACACAAATAAGAATGGTTTTGATAGAGTGCTTTGAGGATTCAGGTTTTCGGTAATGATTTTCAGTACTAGGGATAAGGAAAGCCTTTGTGGAAGAAATAATATCCATAGTGGGTCTGGAAGGATATGAGACACAGAGATAGGAGATGGGAGAAGAGAATATTCAACACTGAAGGAACACAATGACCAAAAGCATTACAATAAAGCAGAAAAGCACTGGCAGCTCAAAAAATATTTGAGCTGAAAAGAACAGTAACTACAAAAGAAATAAATGAAAAATAAATGATTCAGAGGCCTAAGGAGGTTACTAGACTTAACTCAGTATGGAAGACAGGGGAGTAACATGGTCAGAGTTGTCATATGGCCACCGGCTATAAGAACTGGACAGAAAAGAGATGGAAACAGAAGGAAATGCCAGAAGGTTAATTCACTAGGCTAGGCGTGGTTAAGGATGGCTCAAGTAAAGTGGGGCCAGTAGACGTAGAGAAGGAGGAACAGACACATAACACACAGTAACTACTCAAACATCAACTAAATTAAGGAACTAACCAGGCCGGAAAGGATGCAAAGACAACAAAGGGGATGAGTGAGGCCACAATCTTGTGACAGGGTGGAAAGGACTTAAAGACAAACTGCCCCTCCTGGTTTGACCAAGTTCAAGAACTTCACTAAGGAGACTCTATGACATCAATATCGTGAGATATTATGGAGGTGTGCTGACAGAATTTAGTAAAAAGCTAAATGCAGAGGAGAGTCTGAGGTTTTAGGTGTGAATGAAAGAATAACCTTGTCATTAACAGAGACAGGGGACAATGGAGGGAATGTAGGTTTAAAGCAAAAGGAGACATGAGTTCAGGATTCTAGATGTGAGGCTGCGGCTTAGGTAGTGTGATGTTCAGAAATTATGCTGCATCCCCAATATTAGTGCTTGAGTTAGGGATTCAGAGCTAAAACTACAGATGTCACATAAAGAAACCTGAAAGCTGGGAGATTTCAAAAGAAAAAGTATCAGGTAAAAAAATGGATCAAAGAAAGTTTAAGGAACTATTTCTATTTAGAAGGTAAGGAAGAAGAGCCAGAGAAGTCACCATCAGAGAGCTAAGATTACCACCAGAAGAATCAAGCAGAATCCAGCAGTCCTCCCAAACATTCTTCACATGAAAGTACGTAAATAAGACAATATTTGTGTGGCACAAAGGGGTAAACGTGGCTACTAATAACTGGACGTTATTAGCCCAGGAATGAAGGAAACCATTACTCTATACACCAGTAAATCCCCTTGCAGCACTGTTGAGAAAGCCCTGTAGTACCAAAAAGTCTGTATGCCAGAAAGTTTACAATTCTATTTCCCTAAAACTGTCTCTCTTTCAACAGTCACTGATTAGTTGGGTCAAATGGGCACGTGTGACAAAGAAGAAAAGAACACAGAAATAACCAAAAAACTTGGTAATTGAGAAATCACTGATGACTTTAAAAATCAGTGGGAATGAAAACAACCTAAACATCCATCAACAGATGAATGGATAAAGAAGATTTGGGGAATACACACACACACACACACACACACACACACACACACACACACACACAATGGAACACCACTCATCCATAAAAAAGAATGAAATAACGCCATTTGCGGCAACATGGATGGACCTAGAGATTATCATACTAAGCGAAGTCAGAAAGAGAAAGACAAATATCATACGATATTACTTATACGTGGAATCTAAAATACAACACTAATTAACATATCTACGAAACAGAAACAGACTCACAGACATAGAGCACAGACTTGAGGTTGCCAAGGGTGGGTGGGGGGAGGGAGGACTAGGAGTTAGGGACGAGCAGATGTAAACTATTACATAGAGAATGGATAAACAACAAGGTCCTACTGTATAGCACAGGGAACTATAGTCAATATCGTGTGATAAACCATAATGGTAAAGAATATATGTATAACTGAATCACTTTGCTGTACAGCAGGA